GAAGGAATCCAGTCGACTGGTTTAGTCTCGGCTCTAGGGTTTAGTGCAACACCAAACCCTCTAGAACCGCAAGCAGGATCTTTTACTGCTGTGGACAGCTACATGTTGTGGGCTAAGGGCTTTGAACTATCTGTAAGACTGTTCATAGGATTTAATGTCCTTCTGTAGTTTGGTGATCGAATGGTTATGGTCTATAGCGGGATTTATAGAGGGACATTTGTTAAGCTGGGTCTCCAGAATTTTGTAGGTGTCCCCCGGGAAATTATGGGGCAATAAATGATCGTAATTAAATTGAAATCCAAAATGAGACGAGCATTTGGGCTCGAAAGGAATAGTTGTTGCTGTTTTATGTACTGTTCTGATCCATGGACTAGCAGTCGTACTTCATGTGCTTTCGACTTTGGGAGGGGAAGGACTGTGGTGTGGCAATCATGTGACTTTTTTCAGTGCATAAAATGGGTCGGACTTGATGATTCGACGTTAGATAGATGTCCTATTATGGATGATTCTAATCTTGTTAATGTTGGAATATGAATGACTAAAATGTCTGTATCACGTTTTCGGAAACAGCATGTCTAAGAAGTAAGGATCTTATTGATCCTCGCATTACATCGACAGGTCCTGAGATGATGAAAGCCACCATATAATACTTAATGGCCAGCAATCGCAAAGATAACTAAGTAACTCAACAAACAGGAAAAATTGGTACATTGTGATAACATCATCGATTTCCAGGGTTACCAACGTTACATATATTCAACCACATTCACTTGAAAAAAATACACTTATCCATAAGATGAAAATGCTGTCTGTAGCCGAAGTTCAACATTTTCGTAGGAGATTTTAGTGTCATTCATTGTGCACTTTCTGATTTTATCGAAAACTCACACTCTGGATAGGTTTTTTAACCCAAGCCCTCATGACCCTGGTTCACTACCCAAACCAGTACTAGATGTAAAAATAATAAAAATAAAACGAAGGAATCATGCAATTACTCGTCCACCACGCAACTTCATAGTTGAAGAGTGGACACTCATATACTTCCAAATGTAACTGGTTATCGGAAGGGCACTGACCAGCTTCGAGCTCCTTGGACGTAAATTTATAAGACCCATCAGCGCATTGTGAGAAGAATGATGAAAAGTTAAACCCACTCGGTCAGGCATAACTACCAGTCCATGGTTCAACTGAACGCATAAACCCTCTCTTACTATAAGTAGCCAGATAGCAAGCTTCACGTTCCTCTACTTCTGTATATAGTCAAATATTAATTTCCTACCATCGTTCACTCTTCTCTCCCTTCTTTTCTTTAAGTCGCCTCTTCAAAAAGTACGTGGGTACCAGTACGGTTTGATTCTATCATGCACAGCATATCTTTAGAACATAATGGTTGAATGGTTTGTTTTTGACTTTTCTACTGATGAGCGTTTGGAAAAAGTACAATAAAAATATAAGAGATCAGGAAAATGGTTATAATTGTCATACAAAGTATCAGTAAAGTAGGGTACGCTATAAAGAGGTACTAGCAGTGTGAAATTTCCTGTTTCCTGATTCTGATCAATTCAGATTTTATCAAATGCTGGGAATCAGCATAGTCAAAAAATATTTAGAGCATAGAGAATTACTTCTTCCAAGTAGAATCTCGAAAAATGCCAAAAGTTATGTGGCTATAGCCACATCATCATATATGATGCTGAGATTCTCTAATCGTCTTATGCTCACTTAGATAGAATAAGCAATACTTGCTCATTGTGAATTTAATATTGGTCCTAATCGGTGTGCAGTGTTAGGAAGTCAGTTTTAAACAGGAAATTTCCGTGAGTAAAATGTGGCTCTGACATTATAGTCTTCAAACTAATCCGGTGAGTTTTCTTAAACCGCTTAGATTACCTAACAAACAGTGTTAAAAATGAGAAACAAAAACGTTGGACACCGATTGTTTTAAGATTATATTTTCGACATACTTGAGCGTTAGGCCGAACCCAAGGACCTACGCAGTGATCTTAATGGGATTGAACAACACAGCACACTCCAACTTTTTTGATAGTCTGACTTGATAAATCAAATGGAAAGTGAACATTTTTAAATCACACCTTAATTCCAGCAACCACATTCTTCTACGATCAATACACTGAAAAACACAAAATGGGTTCGGGAAATGACTTGAGTAATAGAGACAAAATTTTAACAATTAGACAACATACCATATAAAACACAACACTGCTGAGTTAAAGCTCTCGACAGTATTTGTATTTTGCAGGACTACTAAAGCCACTTGATTGGATCAGCTTTACTTGAAACCTTCAAAGACTCAAACATTTCCGCTGCTCTCTTAGCTTCAGCATGAAGCATCGAGTCTTCCTTGATTGCCTTGTCATTAGGCAAATTCTATATTAGTTAGCGAAAAGGCGAGTGTCAAAGATTAGACGCTGACGGGGGTGGATAATAAGTAAAGAGTCCCAATTATTAACGGAAGGTTTCCTGAAATGTGTCACTAAAACATTTCTTATTTCTCAAATAGTTGGCTAGAAATTCACTGGTGTTTCATTTCTTAATTTTCAATAATGAACAGTATTTTGCTTGTAGGTGTCTGATGTCCATTTTTCAAACAATAAAAACGTGAGAGTTTATTTTATAATGCCCATTCTCTTCTGTACCGAGAGCTTTAAAAAATTTTTTAACACCTCAGTGACTTCAATGAAAAAAACGCATTTCTTTATTCCGTCCAGTAGTTGAGCTGAACTGAGATCATTCGGTCGTGCTGTGGAAGAGATAAGTTTATGTGTTTCTAAAGTCGGTTGTACTGACACAAAGAATCCCCTCAAAGAATTGCTGATATTATAATAAATTATATATAATATTTCTACAAACGTATGCTCCAATTCTTCATCCATGTTTGGACTAGACTTAATCCACTTCGTCTCAAATCACTATAGAATCGTTTAACTATAATGTTCGACCAGTACATGGGGTTTATTTCCTATCCCATATTCACGAATAATCAGGTATTCCTAGACTTGAACAGTGTTTAGAAATCTAGTGCGATATTACATGTCGTCCCTTATGTAACAGACTGTTATCCCTCTATGCCTCAAAAAATTAACAATCTACCACAGATTGTCTTCAACAGGGTTTTTCAATATCCCCCAAACCTTTAAGTGGCCAAATGAGTAATCAAAATCTTAAAAAATTGAGTAGGGTCGGCAGCTACTTCTATAGGTAACCTTATTTATACATCAACTGCATTTCTTCTGACATTCCCTAATTAGGTGGAAACACCTAGTTTTCAAACAAAAATAAATCAACATGCTAGATCTCCACTCAAGCTCTCATATACATAGTCATGGAGTCTGAGTACCCATCCTCTATGACATCCTAGGGTGGGTTACTAGGTTTCTGTCCCACACTTGTGAAACAACTTATCAAGAATCCATTAACATTATTAGGATCATCTTTACCCAACATAACAGCAGGCAAAACATACACAAAATAAAAGCCATTAGTACTTTCTGACCTCCCCGCCCATCACAAATCACTACACCTGAGTCCTGCGCTCATTACTCATGAATGTCAGAAACTGTGAGGACTTTACACGAATTACCTAGACATGACACAACACTGCATTACAACCAACCAGCCTCCTAATACGCAATAGCATACCCAATAACTTTATCACAAGCTTATATAAATTGACTAATTCTTTGGCGCTCGGTTCTTGTCGTTTCCCTCCAGTTCAGAAGAAACACAAGGCAAAACCACTACTCATGTAACTGTCCATGGAAAGCAGTTGATTGGTGCGTGTTGTGCGTCCTTGAGCTTGACAAAGGTCGGCAAACCGCTTGACGTTCAGTGACCTGCCTGAAGGATGAGTTTGCTAGGGACAGATGACACTAAATTATCCATGCATACAAATCACCAAGTTGCCTTCAAACTAACTCCAAGTCACTCTTTTGTCTTGATCATTGATTTTCAGATAGAATATACCATAAAAAAGGTGGGTAGCCTCAAGAGTTACCATGACAAACACGTACCGATCCACGGAGAACTACCTCCCGCTTGGGCGAGCCAAATCTGAAGGATATCTCTTAATTGACCTAACATTACTATCATCATACACCACTGACTGATTACTATCTGGCTTTTCATCATAAATAATTGTTCAAGAGCATAAAAGCTCAGGAGTCATAATAAGCCATGACTTGAAAACAATTACGCATTGCAACGCAGCTGCTGTCAAAGGTTTTAGTGAGTTATGGTCACTTCACCGAGCATTCAAGTGCTTTGACGAAGAAAATTTTCAAATTCTTTACCCCACCTATGTAAGACCACACTTAGAGTACTGTATCCAAACAGACAGCCCATGTCTGATAAAGGATACCAACTCACTTGAGCGTGTTCACCGTGTGGGAACAAAATTAATGAAAAGTCTTTCTAAACTCCCTTACGATGAACGCTTAAAGCGTCTAAACCTTTCCCCCTTGTTGTATCGCAGGACGCGAGGTGAACTTACACTGGCATTTCGCATCTTCAATTGTGACTTGTGTGTTAATGTCTTATCTTTTAACCCCTTCCAGCACTAATAATCTCCGAGGCCATGGCAAGAAGGTTCACAAACTGCGATCTAATAAACTTAAAAATGGAGTCCCGCATTTCTCATCGAGTGGTCAATGACTGAAACACCTTGCTTGAACAAGTAACATCAGTCTCACCAGTGAATATTCTCAAGGAGAAGCTGGACCTTCAATGGAAGGCAATCTGTCAGGATTGACACAGGTTCATCAACCTACTCTCCTTATTACTGAAAACTAATACAGTTGAGTGTCCAAATTACCGTCTAAGAGATATTACAAAAAACTTATACCCGTTTTGAAAAAACAAGAAGCGAGCGCAGAGAAGTCAACTGTTTTATGAAAGCTTATCAGTAAGGCATTGGGTATTGAATGCGGTTATTTAAAAAGACAAGGACATAATAGTCGTTTTCTTAGTATTTTATTAGACATATGCAAGACGAACAAGCAGTCAGGAGGATTTTTGAAACGTAAATGCTAAAATTACTTCAGTGACGTCTATTTCAGTGTAGACAGGAACAGAGACGGAAATATTGATCACACGGAGCTACAGTCGGCACTATCAAATGGTATGCAAACGTGTTGCTTATTATCAGCAATTTTATTGTTTTGTCTCCTTGTAAGTACTTGGGAAAAAGTAGTATGAAGTAGTCTATTCTTCCAAACTTTCCTTTTAACTCCAAGAATCTTGAGCCATTTAAGAGTCGGTATACACCAACTTCAAGTGTCGACTCAACTCTCGGATATGTAAAATTTCTTCATATCAGTTGGGCACTTCGTAAGTGTGATGGAGTCCGTAATGTCTACGAAATTTAAGGTAGATGTGTTAAAGTCCTATGCAATCAACAGCCGACTTTCACTGTCGGATTCAGTGTGTCTTAACGCAAAGCATTTAGATGAACAGAGTAGGACAGAATATGACATACCACCTGGGAGATGTACAATTGTCAAGAGTGGGTTAATAACTGGCTACCCACCGCCAAGTCTTGGTACAGTGAGGTTTAAAAGTTAAAATGTTGTCTAGAGTTTTTATGCAAAGCAATGCCCCACTTTACAGCATTCTCTATCAATTCATAGAAACCTCTAACCCAACTATATGTAAGCAGTGCTCAAATCTTTCATCGGTGACAAATGTGAATTGACTTTGTTCACACTCTAAACCTTCTACTTCACTCAACTTACTTCCAGGACTTCTGTCGTTCACAAACAAAGCTTTTCGTTTATACGATATATCTGTATATTCCCTGATAGAATTCACCTCCAAGATCTGACTACCTTATAATATCAGTCAGTTTTCCTCTTCGTACTCCTGGATTTTCGCCTACTCACTGTTCGGTTCCTTTTTATCGTCTCATAAATATCGCATCTTTTTAGGACATCGGCTTGGTTATTTACTGTTGCTGTTTATTTCCCTAGGAATTACAAGAATCTGCTACTTTTAAGTTTTAGGTCCATATAATTGAGTTTGTTAGTTGCTATTAAATGTTATAAAGATCCTATGATTTTTCCGAGTTCTTTTATCGTGAAGTTTTACAGTGGCTAATTAAGTAGCTAAACAGCGAAATCAAGTTTGTTGTAATCACGTTAGTTTGCACAGTTTTTTCACTACAAAAACTTCCTTTTAATTATATTTTGGCAATTCTCGTATTTTATCAACTTAGTCAATATTTCAGAATTAGAAACATTTCTCAGTTAACAATTATTCTGCTCATTTTTAAAGGTATAGGTACACCGTTCAACACTAGAACTGTTCAGCTGATGATTTCAATGTTTGACCAAGACAGAAATGGAACCATTGATTTAAGAGAGTTCGCCTATTTATTCAAATATGTTCAGGATTGGCAACGGTGTTTTCGTCAATATGATCAGGATAGATCTGGATTACTCGATGCTAGAGAGTTCCAAAGTGCATTGTCCTGTTTTGGTTACCGACTCTCTCCTTGTTTTATAAAAATGATGATCGGTCGTTTCGACCGTAATAAACAAGGACAGATCGCCTTCGATGACTTTATTTTTGCTTGTGTATGTCTTCAAGTAAGTACATACATAGTACTTAAGTGAACTAGGTCACTGAAAATGAACCTTTTTTAAGTCCAGTAGTTAAAATATAAATAGGTAAACTGTTTAAGATTAAGGCGAAAATCCATATTGAATCTTCATCTCGAAATTAGATGCGTTCAATTAGGGAGGTTCGATTTTAGTATATTTTCACTCACGATAATGGCTACCACCACTGAATTTTGCATGATCAGATGATAATAAGTGACTTTACTTGTCATTTAGTGTTATAACAGAGCGAGTTTTGAACACTGATTTTTGGATTGTTACTGTTGATATTTTTTATTGTATGATTATTAGACAACTGGTTTATTGTACTCCTATATTCCTTGTATCGTGAGCTTTCTTTGAACTTATTGGTTATTATCTTTTTTATTGTTCCGTAATTTTTGTTGATTATTTACTCACCTTTTAACCCGTCCTCTGCCACGTATGGTGAAATTGTCTCTAAAGTTTGATTTCTTGTTTGAGGCACGTCACGTTCTGATAGTTAACTCATATAAACTAGCGAATATTTGGTGTAAAAAGTATGTAGATTGGGTGCCTGAAATATGACAAGTTTTCCCACTCTGTTCTCTTTTTCGAACATAAGACTAACCATAGATGTGAACCAAAAAGAGTCAAGATTATCTCAGCCTCAATTCAATGTTAATCTTGCCAATAGAATCGTATCATTAGTCAAAGATTAGGACCATAAGTTATAGGCAACATACTACACACGAGGTGGAGAAACTATTACCAGGATTCTGACTGAAACACTATTCAAGTATGGTTTAGCTTTATTGACGTAACATTAAACGATGCGGTTAGGTTTATTTAGTTTAACATTAAAATATTGAGGGTTTACTGTAAAATACACGATGCTGCGAAAATGGAATTCCTCATCTAATGCAGTCACCTGGTAGGTGCAAATTACTTGGTTTAGGTTCGCGCGGTCACTGTAACCAATGGTTAGATACGTTATGTGATATGGTCCAGAATCAATCGCACTGATTTGATTCTATCCACTCTTTGTCCTCCCTTAAACCCCAGTTCCTAAAAATATCTTACGCTTCTGTTTTGTCCTTCATATTCCTTCTTCTTGAATCATATTGTCTACGGCTAATGTTTTCTACTACCACTGATATTGTTGCTGCTTCTAATACTCCGGTACTTAACGACTTCATCATTTTGTTGATATGTTGTGACAATATGAACCAGTCCTCATATTTTCCAGGTTCTGCGTTGTCTTACAACCAACTGAATCAGTTAACAATCAGTGTCCGTAAGTTTGGCATGCACTTTCCATCTTCTAAGTGGAAACTACTTCTATGTGACCGACAACAGCATGTGGACCCACTCGCTCTGTGGAGATCCGTTAGGAATAGTTGGAAAGCCTATGTATCTTGGTTATTGTATGAGTCCTAATGTTGGCGTGACAAATGGCACCAACTTACTTACAGCAAGTCTTAGCGATTTATGCCAATCTGAGTCTGTGTGATGTCAGTCTGGTTGTAAAAGGTCAGGTTTATAGCTTGTCGGTGGGAACAGTTTTTCTCTATGCTTGTGAATAGAATTTCCAGTAAATATTGTCATCGTCAAATGTCAGAACACCGTCATACTTATCAGAGGCCAACAATCATACTGTTTCTTGACATCCTTTCCAGACTAATTTTTCATTCAAATTGTTTATAGAATTAACATGTGTAAATATAAACATCTAGTTCTTAATTCTAAATGTTCCTTCTTTCTAAATCAATCTTTTGTCTTCTTTTCTCGTAGATTCTCACAAACTCTTTTAGACGATATGATATAAATCGTAATGGATATGCACAATTCAGTTTTGAAGAATTTTTATCTTCTGCTATGTCTATAATTATTTGATAAAATATATTTATAAAAAGGAAAACAAATCAAATGGTTACTGTACAAAAGAAAAATACAGATGGTCATTATCAATAACTTCACTTCTATATGGTAATTGTTTTTGTTTGTTTGTTAAATTTGTTTATTTTATTTAGTCTTCCTCCTTTTATTGAACAAACGAAAGAAATAAACATGATTAGAATTTCTTTAGTTAAATCTAAATTAACTTTAGTTTTATTGCATTGCTTTACGCTAAGGAATTCCGTAAAACTCTTCGATTGTTTCTGTTATGTAAACTTTTTTTAAGCTTATCATTATGACACAATTTTGAGTTGGATTTTTGTACTTGCTTCAATTTTTGATTACTTTTTTTTTCTATTCAGCTATTTTCTGTTGTTTTTGTTTGGAGAAAAAACTGATATTGTTTTTTACTTGGTTGTCTTTTTGTTTACTTTTTGTGAATATCTAAAATCATTGCATAAACCACTTACTTTTTCATTCACTTGATGATAGGAGTTTATAATTGATATGAACCATTCAATTTATAGCTGATTTATAGTTAAATAAAAACACAGTGCATATGTGTCGCTTACAAATATGATCGTAATTTCGTATACAATATACAAGTTTGTTAGAGATATGAGTTAATTAATAACTAAAGATTTCTTTTGAATTATAGTCCAACAAGTTTTACCCTTTCTAATGGTTTCTTTAAACTTTTTATTTATTATTTATTTAAATGCATAAACATTGGTACAAGGAGGCATCAAATAGATATGCGCCACATAAATCATTCGGTTTATGTGAGGGCTGGAATCCTACCCGGGTGCCCAAACCAAACCACGTGGTTTGCTTAGGGGGCTACACCTCAAGCCTTCGACTTAATGGTCTAATCCACAAGGCAGTGGAGTATCGTAAGGAGATGCAGTCCCATTGTAACTGGCGACTAGTGCTTGGTTCATACGCCATTGGTTCCTTCAGGATACTGGAGCCCATGTGCATTATTGATTGGGAATGAGGGTTTTCCAACTCCCTTAGGTGGACTCTCCGTGTCCATCATCCTGGTCAAAGCGCCGGTCATTCGCTTTTCGTCTTCTCGATTTCGTAAATAGCAGTAATGCCACGAAAAGGCAATGAGTAGGACTTATTTGGCCATGGTTGTATGCACGTGTCCATATGAGAGCATTTGGAGAGGGAATAGTTGACACTCCCGACTCGGCTGTACCAGAGCATTTGGGTGCAGACTTTTTATTTACTCTACAACATATGCTAGGCTGGTAGAACCTATCGGTCCAAATGGAGATTTTCACTACTAAGAGTTGTGAATTGAGGAGGAGAACTTCACCACGGAGAACAGTATGTTGCACAGTTCATAAAATCCAGGATACAAGGTACTTAGGTTGAGTGTATAAAATCACTCAAAGTAGTTTGATGTATCGCCTAAGATTTTCGCATGCGACTGATAACTTTTGGTAAATCCTCAAAAGCTCATCAGACTAAAATATTTTAAGGGTTTGTTTTACAAACATCCAATACATAAAGTATGAATTGGTGAGTTTAGAAACTAATTGGTAACCCCTTAGAATGAAGCCTTACTGGCAAAACGTTTTGGAAATTAGTGTGGATTGTACTATTATACATCTGTTAGCAAAGTTAGATATAAGAATCTTTACTGAGTTAATATAGGAAATCCGGTTTATCAACATACCAGTTATCACTCCAATACACAAAATTACTTGGGGAATACGAAGCACCCATAGACGTACTTATTCGAACCCAAGTATCCCTTGTAATTCAGGTTTAGTACCAAGATTAACTCACCATATCGCTTGGTCTCATGAAGTGCATGCGACAAATAATCACCCTGATTAGTGTCAATTGATCTAAATTTAATCAATCCTTTTTCAAAACGCTGCATATAAGTAATGTGTACTTTAAATTTACGTTGTTAAATCATATATATTTTGATTGCATCTTTTATCATTCAATTGAGTGACAATAAGGCTAAGAAGTAAATAAGTGCTTTAATTAACGTGGTGAAGTGTGGTTTATGACAGTTTATTTTTCATAAACGCGTCATATGAATACAGCACACAGGAACTGGATTTCTTGTTTACTTAAACTCAACATAGCTTATCCAGGACGTAGTTAATCACGTGGACAGAACAATATGTATAATTACTGATCAGATAACCTTTCTTGTCTAGTCACTGACAGGTCAACAGGAGTTTTAACTATGGGATCATCATTTTCCACTATTATTACTGACTGGGAACTAATTTACTTGTTGACCAACAGTCTGTTTGGGGAGCGCAGATAGCAACCGTGTTATTACAAAACGAGATGGATTAGAAACTTTTGAGCATTCTAACACTATACCATATAGCACTAAGTTCATAAAGAGACCGCATTTCTTGACCTCAAACTTTCATTTCTCGACTATTTGTTTGAAAGAAAACAGTTGTTTCAAAATTAGTGTATTCCTTAAGTCCAAATATTCTGTGAAATATCTAGATTACAGATCAGCACACGTTCTATCAAAAAAAAGATAATAATCACTAAGTATCTGAATAGTTGAGTTTACCAACCAGTCATAACTGAAGGACAAAGACATCGAGTTGGGAAAAATGATCGGTCAACGTAAAGAATGGATGAACTCGATGGTAATTCCATACCGCCAAGGAAATTCAGAAGAAATTAGAAGGATCCTAGACCACAAGGATATAAGTGTTCTCCAGAATGACAATAATTTTAAATGTAAAGAGTGGAGTACTAGAGGAGAAGCAACAGAATTATGTCTCTAAAACCAAGTATACTGACTGTAATGTTATAGGCAAGACATCACGACAACTCGATATGTCCGCGAAGGAATGTTAACTTTACTTCAAGTGTATTCTTAAACCTTCAAATGACACCAGGATTCTTGAAAACTTTATGATGTAAGCTTTATACTCAGTAAATAAGGATATACAACCGACTTTGACCCGAGAAAAATTTTCATAAAATGTTTTGTTTCTTGGAACTAACGAGTGACAGCTAAAGCGCTATATTAGCGAGCTCCAAATGTTATATCTAGAGCTCAAATTCTTATTATACTGCGTACAACTGGAGCACTCGAACGCTAGAACCCTCCCAAGTCGCAAATGAGAAGACAAGTGAAAGGAATGCTATTCCAAAACAGTGTCAATTATGATACAAAACTCTCAGGTATTTATAGTTTTTAGTAAAAACGAAATCATATTAGTCCTCTAATCCTCATACAGGTTATTAGCATTTGTCTAATAGGGAAGCTACATTTAGGGATTCTGGAACATCCTTCCAAAAGATGATTGAATGGAATATCTTCGGCTCTTTCTGAGCTTCCTCGAATTCACCCGTAGGCCGTCCTCACATAACTATCTAGATTGGCAAGACATGGTATTATTAGCTGTACAATGAGAACTTATGACAAAATATTATCTATAAATTTCATACAATTTTCCTCATTGATAATTTCTAGTAAATCATTATCAATAAGCTTAGCAGAGCAAGACTAATTTGTTTATTTCGTGGATTTTCATCAGCTGCTTAGAACTTACGAATATCAATAATTCTTATTCACAACCAATGGACATACTTTATTCCATATTAATGCAGATAGATAGAATAATGACAAGAATTATGAAGTGGTAAATTGAACAAATACTTATATTTCACTAACTATGAATATTCTTGAAGAAAATGATCATGCATTCGTGAATTGAAAGACTATAATTCTTTCGAGCCAATGCAAAAGTGGTTAACTCTGTTTACAGTTTGTGAAACTAACCATACATTACATATTATAAACCTACCGAGGATAAGTTACCAGGTTATGCCGCTTCTATGTGTATCTACAAATTCAGCTGCTTCTGCGGAGAAAGCTGTATTGGGCGCACTACCAGACAACTGAACCAAAGAGTTAGTGAACACCTCCCTTCGTGGTTAGGAAAAGGTAATGTCAAGACAATACGCACCTCGGTTCTATCACACTTGATCGGTAGTCGACAGGAACAAGTCACTTAAAGTTATTTATCGTATTCCCACTAGTTTTCCTTATGATGTTCGATCTTGTCTCTTACAGATAGTATAAGATATAGGAATTCGTGCCAACAATCCGAGTCTTCGTGCTCATAAGAAATCTGTGAAACATCCTTATCTCTCCCTTGGCCCTAATAAGTGATTTTATTTATTATTTTCCATACTCTTTGTTCGTTTACTGCTTATACTCATACTATCTCTACCACTACGGGATTTGAATCGACAACTGCATCTCTATGCTAATGTGGTACGGCAACTCGGACTGATGTACGTACGTACGAAGTTTTACGTTGTTACTGACTGACGCTTCATGGTCCAATTATCTGAACACCTCTTATTGCGTAATCTTATAATCTTTCTATGAATTTTATTTGTGTCAATATTTTTTCTAATCATTGACCTATTTCCGATTATTTGACATTGATTCAAGTCTTTATTATTCTTATGACAACTAGTAAACCTGTCATCAAACTATCGATTTGTACTTTTCCCTTATTATGTGATTGTTTCCATTGTTATCATTGTCTTATAAACTACCTTGATTGGTTTAATAATTTCGTTTATGCATATAAATATTACTGTATATTAGAGTAAAGCCTGATGAGGATCTAATCGAAAACAATATTGTTCGCTTATATATGTTATTCTAAATTAATAAATTGTCAACCAGCTTATACAGCCAGCCAATTATAATCAGTTGACCTTCATTTGAATTTGTTTAGTAAACAAAGCATTTTATCAATAAACAGATCATATGATTCTTCAATGAAAGATCATTAACATTCTTACTATGGCTATATGGCTTTAAAATTCATAAATATCAAATTTATCATTTGCCAATAAGATTGAAATTATTTACACTTTGTTTTTCAGTATTTAAAGTCCGGATTACAAAATCGATATAATATTAAACAAATAATTTTATTTCAATAGTCGAGATCATGAATCAGTTGAAGCTAAACCATTATGGAAAACCTGGAAATAGTGGATGGCCGTCTCATTCTATTGTGGGACTCTTCCTTGGCAGTGTGCATCCACCATCCCTCTGCCTTGCGAGATTCGAACCCAGAATCTATCAGCCTCGCGTCCGAGCGCCTAACCTCTAGACCACTGAGCCGGCCGGCATCCAACGGTGTTAATGTCTAACTTCAAATAATCCACGAAATTGAGTGACACATCCACCATTGTCTTCAGTGAGTTACTATC